TCCCCACTCGCGAAAATGTTGGTACGCCACTGCCATGGAGGAAAGAAAGAACCGAGCAAGCCCAATTAATTAGCCTAAATACCGAATTATGTGATCGATTATCGAAGTCCAGTGGATATGAATACGGCCGCATCCTTGGTATGGTGGCTAGAAGGAGAGGTGTCAGCATCATCCCGGCCGCGCCTTGAAGGGATTGGATTGGATAAACTTTTATTTGGTCCTCCAAAACTCAGATCACTGTGTTGCGGGCAACTCCCACGTGGGGACTGAGATGCCAAGCTCCTCAGCCACTTCGCGGGCTTGGTGGACAGCCCAGAGCTGATCTGCCAAGGACGAGCTGCGGATTGCCGCCTCCCATCTGGCAGAGGTGATGTGCGATAAATGAGCGAATTTGGTGCACTGCCAGAGAATGTGTTCCAATGAAGCTATTTCCCCACAATGTGGACAAAGATCACTTGGGTATAAGTCAGGGTACATGATGTGTAACATTTTCAAAGTAGGGTACATCTGCGTTTGCAAAAGCCTTAATGTAAGTGCTTGGGGCCGGGTTAGATTTTTGTGAGGTGGAGGGAAAATCCTTCTAGACAGGTAAAAATGTTTAGTGAGCTCGTTATATGTTGTAAGAATTTCCCGGTTATTCCCTTCACCGGTAGAACGCATCCCCGGGGAGGCGCGGTGGGAGAGTTCTCGCAGGGAGGCATGCTGGTATTCCATTCGGCCGCGGAGCGGCGCGCAAGTCGCCACCGTGATCCGTACCATAATACGTACACGTACGAAGGGGTAGACACAGTATGCAGTGCGTGGGGAGAGGAAGAAGAAACTGCCAAACACTTGATAATGTTCTGTAAAGGGCTTCACCCTATAGTTCAGGATGATGGCGCAGAGTTTTTCAAAGCACTGGGGCTTAGGGACAGGGAGGGCAAAATAGACTTTAAGCGAGTAGACTTAACTAGAAGGAGGTTATCTTATTGGTGGCCAAAGCCAAAGCACGAGGGCAAATTAAACCCTTCACTGCAAAGCACGAATCCTCAACCTCACTATTTAAAGGAAAAAAAAGATAAATCTAATAGTTTGTTCACTAAGCATTACGGCTAGGTAGCGTTAGCCGCCGCCCGACCTAAAGGGTACAGCCACATCCATCCATCTATCCATCCATCCATCTGATCGGTCGAGAGCGCTTGCCAGCCGCTAGCGCGGCCACAGAACACCTACCAGGCGCGGCACTTATAGAGGTGTTCTGTGCTTTTAGTCGCTTGCTTGTGTGCTCGCAAGCCGCAACGTCTGCGCTTTGCCTATTTGGACTTGTTTGGGATCAATACGTGCCAATGTGACCACGCAATAGTGATGAGTAAACAGCAAAGACACTGCTTTGCACCTGGATGCAATGCGGAATATGCTTCGGCCCGCAAACAAGGGAAGAAAGCGTTTCTCTTCTATGCTCCCGCCGACGATGAACAGCGCAAGGCCTGGGAGCGTATGATTCCTCGCGCTGACAAACCACTGGAAAAGAACTGCGTTGTGTGCGAAACTCATTTAGGCGAAATATTTATCGTCCGTTGCTACAAGAATGTTATCAACGGGTTCTTAGCAACTTGGGAAAAAGATGTTCCTAAGGAGGATGGGTTCCTGAGTGAATCAATTGCCGAAGGACTCCGCGTCACTCTAACCAGCACCCTTTCCATCCGGCACTATGCCACGAAATCCTTGGGCTATAAATACTTGATAACGTCTCGCCTCTGCCAAGACGCACTTAAAATCTTTTTGGAATGCAGAAGCAAATGTCTGGCTCGATTGATCACCCTTCGCCGACACAATTTTTGATATCTGTGAATCGCCTCAGTTTATGCAGTTTGGCACAGTCACCTTTCAGTGGAAACATACCTTCTGGAGTTCCGAGCAGTCTTCTATGTCCTGGCATTCACAATAATTTAATATAATTGCAGGATAAGCTGGATGAGCTGCTAAATGTGGGGCGCCTCAATGAGGTTCATGGAATTATTATTGCTCGTGGAGCCCTCCCTGACAACACTGATCTCATTGGACGCAAAAGTGACTCCCTGATCACTTATTACGTCAGTGGCTATGTGGCCCGGAAGGTGGTGAAAAAGACGAAGTGCAACGAATGTAGCAAGTTGTTGCTTCACTCAGAATTCCAGCTTGCCGGCAGAATCACGCCTTCTGTACCCGTCCGAGTCCTCAAGAGACTTGCTCAAAGCTAAGGAAGATGCATTCGCCAATTGCTTTAATTTTAACAAGCTGAAAAGTGACAGCATAACAGACATTATATCTTGCCTGTTTGTGAAGAGGTTAAATATGGTGGGCTGTGAACACCACAAACTGGAAGTGACAAATCAGATTAGATTCTTTACACTGACCAGAAAGCATTTTCTCCTTGCTGGAAAAAATGCGTCCAATCAAAAAAAAGAGAGAGAGAAAACATGAAGTTCTTGAAGTTGAGACGCATGGCTTAACTGTCATAGTGTTAACTCAGCGAACAAGGTTTTATTTTATGTTATTGGGCATTGTTCACACTCTGTTGTTTCTTGTGATTTTACTATTGTCTTGTTCACATTGTTACAAATCTCCCATTAACAACTGGGATTTCACTGTCTGGCTGTGTTTCACATATGTAAAAAGCAACTTTTTCATGAACTAGTTTGTGAATGTACTCATGTTTGCCAATGAAATCTCAATGTCATGTGTGTATGTATGCCCATTGTATCATGGTATATTTACTGTTCTCTTTAGTTGCCTTATTCACTTGTTTTAGCTGAGTTTCATATAACTTGCAGTTTTCTTCAACCTTAATGCATATGTTGTGTTTATTTTTGATGTTATTTTTGCTCTCGAGAAAATAAATGTCTTGCTAGTAAAATTAGATCTTTATTGCGCAAGTCATAAAAATAACGGCTGCCGATACCTTTACGTGCATTGAGACCACGGAGAACACTGCGGCATCAAATCTGAAAACTGCATAGACTTTGTTTTGGTGTCAAGCTCACGGCAAGTCACTTGATTCTTTATCTTCTAAGCTTCGTAGCTGATATACTAGGAAGTGAATTGAAAACACTAGTTTTCAGCGCCAATACATGCTTTGCAGCGCGCCGCCAGAATTGTGACAGGTAGACTTTGTTATAATCCGTGAAATATTTGCAATGATATAAATATTTGCAACGAATATAAGCGTGAAATATTTGCAACGAAAAACGACTAATGCACAGGCACGAGAAGAAGCATCTCGAAAGCGACCACAGCGCCGCCGCATCCGCATGAATTCTCGCTTGCTCTCCGGCACGCTAATGCTGACACCTCTCCTTCTAGCCACCATATTCTTGGTGTAGCCAACGCTAAGTGTTGCTCGGTAAACGATAATAATTGGCTAAATTTGGCAGTTTACACTTTCAATCAACAATTATTGCAGAAATTTCCGTTCATGCGCAGCAGGTCAAATTGGCGCAGAATGGAGCAGTTGGTGCAGCACTTCCACCCCTGATTATGAATCAGTGTTACTTCTGTGTTTCTCTCGCAGGCAAAGAGCAAGTTTTAGATCACATGTTGTGATTAGGGTGGTATGCGCTCGATGTGTGTCGCGCATACAGTCAAAAGCTTGCAGTCCCCTTGACCCCTTCTCTCGTTATTTCGTCGCGCAAAAACAGCCATATTATTGTGGCTGGTACATGAAACAACTAGCCCAGCAAAGTGGGCTTCACTATGTGCGGGTTCGCCAACGTTATGCCATGCTATGACAGCGTAGGACAGAATACCACAATGCGGCCCCCTAAATAGATCCGCACTTAAAATAGCTTTTGCAAAGTTTTATCAGTGAACAAATATTGGGGAAGAGAAAATGGGACCGTTTTTTTTTTTTAAGTGAAAGAATTCTGCTCAGATGCGCGATTTCTAGCAGTCATGAGATTACATGAATCATCAAATATTATATATATATATATATATATATATATATATATATATATATATATATATATATATATATATATATATATATATATATATATCGCTGCAACCATTCTGCTTTTCAACGTGAAATTAAATTCATATAATAATAAAGCTACATTTATGAGGTCAAGGAACATAGCTGCACACAAAAGCTGCATGACAATTGGATTTTATAATTACTGAACTGTGACTTTTCCATGAAAGGCGGGACTGTTATGCAATACTGTCAATACAAGAGATATTACCATCACTGAAGCACATGTTTTTTTTTTATTCTAAGTATCATTGGAGTATCATAAATACTTCCTACCCACAAGGCTAATTTGACCGTAACCGTGGCTTAGTGGAAAGGGCACCCGCTTCAGCTAGGGGAGGTAGCACGATTGAATTCTACCGCCGGATCTTAAACATCAAGAAGCATGGTACAGGCATCCCTCTTACCCGACGCCCGGTTGTCACAGGGTTAGTAGTGCCTGGGACTGTTGCGCAAAGTCGCACCTATTAAGCATTGTCTCGCAGTAAGGTAGAATGCGGCATTGAGGATTATTAATTTGGCAAGTGTTCATGCAAATATGTTAAGAATATTACTTTTCAAGAGATCTATCATTTTAGCAAGAAAACCTCTGTACAGCAGGTTACCATAATAAAATAGTCAATCTCACCCACAGTAGCATCTGGCAGCCACTGTTTTACTAGTTGGCCACGGTGCAAGAAAACAAGTGCGATGTGATTGCTTGAGTGCACGTGTTTAGACATTGAAGCAACACCCCCATTTCAGAATGAATAAATGTGTTTTTTCAGCCACTCTACATTTACCTTCCACAACTATTCTGACTTACCCTTCTTGAATTATTTCCACATTTATCATGACTGAATGACATTACTTTTTCTTTGTGCAGAAACACCACAGACCGATTGGCAGTCATATCACCGAATGTCAATTGAATCTAATTCAGACATTAAAATGTCCAGTACGACAGGAGTATCATTGGTGAAGGAAAAAAAAAACACTCTACTAACTTCGAAAAAACAGTGCAAGACAATGATAATGTTCCCATTTTATTTATGCCAAATCGTTTACAGCATTTAACTTGCTTTTTTAAACGTGCCTTTGGTGGACAAAGGCCTAATCCGGATAACTAAATATTGTACAGTACATGGCTGCTCTCACATATAGTACATATCGAGGAGCAGTTCGCACCAAATGTTGAAAAGTTCAGGTCATTATAAAAATAGCCTGTTTATTTTGTTCCCAGAGCAAATGCCCGCACGCACACTCTTCGTATCCTATATCTAGTATGCTAAAGCAAGAGTGGAAGAATCTCAAGGTACTGGCTGATCCCACATTACTTATGCTAAGGTACAATTCAAGGCTGTTCAAGCAACCAATGTCAAGACACTGGACGCAACTTTACACAGCAGCAACACATGCCCCACACGAACACGTCAGCACCAAGGAACCAAAATACTAGAAACTACGCTCCAAGACTGACAACTTTGCAGGAGCGAAATGATAAAAGCGTTAGGCCACACAATCGACAGGTACGAACGAGAAATGTATACACAATCCAACAGCTGACAAGAGTGAAGTTGTGCGCTGGACGACTTAATCACATTTGAAAGACCTAGTCAAAGTGGCAGTCGCACTTGTGTCTTCAATTGCAACAAATTGAATTCTTATGCCTGCACACCTTTCCCTGGATTTCTGGCTAAAAGTGAGGCTCTGTATTTGCATGCCTAGGCTTTTACAAAAGCTTCTCACCCGTAAAAACTGCTTGAACATAACACTCTGGCACATTTTCTGACTGACAGCATAACTGCGTCCACAAATTTTGCTGCCGCTACTTGGCTACATGCTCTCCACAGAGACTTTTTGCGATTTTTACTAAATCTTGTGGACAGAATGCAACCTGTGGCATGTAAATCCTGCATTATGAGACTCTTTACAACACAGGTCTTAGACAGACAAGAACTATCAAGCTGCAGACGTACTACTTCGCTTCTGCAGGCCTGTGACATGGTAAAGGATGTTCTGAATCCCCAAATAGTCGAATGTGAGTCAGATGCAAGAGTTCAAGAGGCAAGAGTTCAAAAACTTCCAATATTCAAGCTATCCACCCATCAAACTTGTCTACACTTTTAATGGAAAGCTATCGTATACAGCTAAGGAAAATATTTAAGCCCACTTGTATATAACACGATTGTTTTCTCATGATAACAAGCATACATTGAAGGAAAAGAGGCTAGTAACTAATTTTGTAAGTAAGGAAAGTTTCTTCAGTACTGAAAACAATAATATTGATGTTACAAGAAGGCTTTAGAACTGCAGATCATACTATATAAAAAAATGAAAAGACTAGTACACGACCCAAACCAATGTGCAAAATTAAATGATTTGCCACAAGAAGCACAGTTCACAGGTATGAGCATATTCACATAATATGTGGCAGCATGCATTACCTGAAGGTACTTACAAAAATGCAATATGCATGAACAGCAGTATTTCTGCAAATGGCAGAAAAACATACCAGGATTTCTAGTGCATAAATATTGCACAAGTAAGTGGACTGCTAAGGTTTACATACGCGAACTGGTTTTCCAAGTGAAAACCAAAAAATTGTGCGGAGAAAATGTGTATTCTACTACATAATCAAACTAAATGTCTATGTTCACAAACATTAAATAACATGAAGCTGGTACAGCACACACACAAAGCATACATTACAGTACAGGCAAAAGACCAGTGCGTTTCTAATCAATTTGATATAGTGAAACTATTCCTGAGGCTACAACTGTGCTGTTACAGTAAAGGTATATACCAATTGTTTCAAGCCTGATTCTCTTTATGAGCAACCTTTAATCAAAATTTCAAGCCTGATTCTCTTTATGAGCAACCTTTAATCAAAATTTCAAACTTCAAATTCCAAGAAACCACCTTTCAGCCAAATAATAATTACTGGCTGAAAGTCAGATTGAGAGAAACTTGAATCTTATTGGACTAAGTTGCTAAAAAAATAAAGCAATAAAAATGTGAGGACTGTTTAAAACAGCATCCTTCAACTCCCAGATGATTCAAAAGAAGAGTCGCTGTTGCAAATCCACAGATATAAATAGACACTGAGTAGAGCTACAAAAATGCACTGAACTACATGCACTAATGCTAGCAAAGCAGTCTGCACTGCCATTTTAACAGCAACAAAACAGTTCCTGCCAAAATGTAACACAGCTGTACATGTGCGCAATGTGTTTCCTTGAATGTGACACACGTCAGGAACATTGTACGTGTATGACAAATGCACAACCTTTGCGTGGGCACACCAAGATAGAAATTGGTCAAAAACCTTGACAAACAGTGTAAACCTAAAAACATCTAACTTTTCGAGATGAGTTCTTCCATCATCACACCCACACTGACAAAAATAGAACAAATGGCTGTTCAGCCAGTTGCCCTCAATTGGTTAAGTTTCCTAATCTGGTGTCTTGCTCCTTCCTTTTAAAAACATACAGTTAGCTAAGGCCCAATGTCAGTTCTTGAAATGGTAATGTGGCTCTGATGCAGTCAAGTGGCTCAAGTCATCCATACTTTTCTTGGCAGCTGATGTGATGATTCCATCAACACTCTTCACAGTCCGGCTTGTCAGTTCTTGTACCTCTTGGCTCATACGACCTATAACCCATTCCATAGCTAAACGTCCCTGCACAGAAAGAATAAGGCCGATCCACCCAATAAGAGACAGCAACTGCCAAACGCATAAATGCATATACTAGCTTATGAACATTGTGCCTATGCCTATGTGAAAGATTCTATTGGTATATCTAATGTGTTCCTCAGAAAAACAAATTTTGGTCTCGGGAGTGTTACAAGAGATGCAGAATGTTACCTTTTACTATCCCACTGGCTTCAAAGACAGTTGAATTCAAGCCACCACGACGGCCTAGTGATTATGGCGCTTGACCGCTTACCCACAGGTTGCGGGTTCGATACCAGCCATGGAGGTGACATTTTCGATGGAGGCGAAAATGTTGGAGGCCCATGTGCTTAGATTTAGGTCATGTTAACTAACCCCAGACGGTCGAAATTACCGGAGCCCTCCTTTACGGCATCTCTCGCAACCCTATCATGGTTTTGGGATGTTCGACCCTAACAGTTATTATATATAAAAAGAGTTCAATACACTTTTGTGAAATGTTGCACTTGCACATGATAAAATAAACTTCAATTATGGGTAGCATCACGCCTTCACCGCACACCAATCCCAGCAGTATGATATGCTGCTCCCCAAATTCAGAATTCATCAGTAGCACAGGCACTGATCATTTTGGAGTCTGAGTCAACGAAATCCACTGTCACTTAATTCTTTTCTTATTGTACTTACTCAGCATTATCAGCCCATTAACAAAGGTTTTGAGCATTGTCTTCAAGATCAGCCACACTCGCATGCATATGGCGTGATTGAAATAAAATTATGATTTAACTTCCTATGCCACATTCTGTTTACAGAGTGGCAATGTTTTCTGAATGGGCTCAGAAGACACTGGAGTTTAAAAATGAAAATGATCCAATTTTTTGAGTAGTGTTGCTCTCCGACAACATCTTGCGACTCTGTTCTTTCGATAACTCAAAAACAGCACAAAAGATGATGCCATATTTTGGTCTCAATTTTAAAGGATGACTGCAGCAGATGCATCACAAGTCTGAGCTAACCACTATCTCGAGCCCTCAGTATTAACCCACTATAGGGGAAACACACCAGACATTAAAAAAAGGCAATGTGAATGGAAGTCTTCAAAAACAGCTTGCTGTAGCACTTGGAACATTCTGTTTTGTTTCATATGAAGAACACGTGTTGACACAAGGCACACACAAAGCATAGGTCTTCCATTTGAATTTTAGTATGGAAAACTGTCAGAGACAAAATTTTAATTTCATCACAGTTTATGGCTGTTTTGACTTTTGAACATTTTATATACTACTATAAAATCTTTTCAGAACTTCCTGTTTTGGTAAAGACCTATAATCCCGACACCAAACAGCACGAAGCTTTGCGGTGAAACATTTAGGCCAAGTGAAATGGGCCTCATCACAGAAGAAAATAGATGAGATCAGAGTCTGGCATTGACGAAAAACAAAGAACAAATGTATATACAGATGCACAAGTCTATAGTGTGTGTCTAGAACGTTAAAAATTTTTCAAAGTCCTGTTTACCCTAGATCACTTGCTAGGGAAATCAGTGATCTCATTTCTGCCCAATCTGTTGTGTAGCAGCAGTTGTATGGTGTTTCTTTGCCAAGGAAAGACGATATAATGAAAAATCTTCTATACCTAGGAAGGGGTACAAAATCAACAAAGCATCAAAAGCGATGACCTTTAAAGGGGCCCTGCAATACTTAGTCCTAAGTAGCCATGGAATGAATTCACTAAAGAAGCTTATTGCCCCACAACTTGACTGCCACAGAAATCTTTAGAATCCATCCGGTACGAGCAGAGTTGCAAAGATTTGTCGCATGCTGCCATTGCTTTGTCTACTCTTGTACAGACAAAAGTGCTGAAGCTAAGCAAAGAGGGATGGCACGGGGGAAGACAGTACGTCACACGCACCTCATTATCTTGAGCACTTTTTTTTTTCCTTTGAATGCACGACTTCTCAGTGCGGTCGCACGCATGTGCGGACACGTCTTGGGCCCAGTAACTCCTGGGCGTGCCATGCTCAAATTAGCCAATGGAGTGATACTTGGGCCTATGACGGTATGATTTCTGAGCATACAGACCTATTTCACGTTTGTAAACAGCGGCAGGCAATGTTAATATGTTGAGGTTTGTTGCATTCCGGTGCATTGGCTCCGCCCAGCTGCCCCAGCTAAAAGTATACTACCACACTCTACGATAATGTGAAAACTGATGCAGCAGGCGCAAAAGCTGCCTCCAAGCACCATGCGTTAGGGTGCCTCTCGCATGCTTACAAGCGGCGGCCACAACAGAAGAAGCTACAGTGGCTGTAAGGGGTGCTCTGAAATGAACAAATGGGCCTTGCTGACGTGTAGGTCTAGCTTTGAGAACCTCATCAAAACATTAAGTATCTTCACAGCAGGAATGTGACTCATTAGCAAAATGTCATTGCCGTTACAGCAGTCTACGTCACATGTGTACATCTTAAAATTTGTAACAGACCCAATTCAGCAAGAGGCTCTAGGGTACAATATGCAAATGCACAGTGTAAAAATACATAGCCACAAATCGTTACAATAAATCCTCATGTATAACAAATGTACTGGAGAAGTCATTCATGCAAACAAGGGCGATCCCGGCGAAACTTTCATCTGCAATACCCCTGCGATAACGCTTCACTGCATACTGTGGACAATGCGATTACATACTTGTCAGGTCCGCGGCTCCATTCAAGCCAAGGCCGTGAAATATGTGGAGATCACAAGTTTCCCCGATTGCAGTTTTTCTGTGAATTCTCACAGATATGATATTCTCGTGAAATGCGCCACAGCCACAACAGCTCTACCTATTACACTTGTGTCATAGCAGCCACATATAATCAGGTAAACCATAGTCGAAGTTATCCTTTCATTTGCTGATGCTTTAACCTATTAGGTGCCAGTTCTTCTTTATGAGTATCCTAAAAGCAGATGAGATTTTTAATTGCATCTGTGTTTGTATAGATCCCACTGAAAATTCCATCATGAATGAAATTTTAGTTTACAAGATATGGCCCATAACCCTATGGTCACGCTGGGCTTTTAGGTGACAGCAAAAATGGCAAAACGTTAAATTATATTTTGGGCCTTGACACATCGTGGAAAATAAAATTTAGGGATTCATTGGCCACTCAATGATAAATGGTATGAAGCATTCGATGCATATGCCGACGTCGCATTTACTGCACTGTGTAGTCACCATGCTATTGCAGTTCTCTCTATTGCACCTGCGCCTTTTGCCATTAGGCACAGTTCCGACAAAGTGGACTGTTTTCTCATTCAAAAAGTGCACCACAAGACACGCTTTCAGCAAGAATCGACTTGTTTGATGGCCAGTTCCTTTTCGCTTGTTATCTCACCTTATCTGGTAGTTTTGAGGGATTTACATCTAAAATTCAAGTTCACTGACGTTGCATCATGTGCTGCGAATAAGCACCACACGTTGCTTATGGCTACCTCCAGAGTAAATGTCCCTCACCACCACTTTTTTCGATGAATTGCAATTTAGTATTTTTTTTCTTTATTGTTGCAATCCAGTAGGTGCCTACATTAGCATCGACCTGGTGAATACTTCCTTGAATCAGTCATACTGGGAAACATCATTACAGCTAGGAACTTTCGTCTTCTGAGCACTTAAAGGTAACTTCACGTCAAGGCTTTCGTCTACTACACCTGAGCAAATAATTGGCTTGGTGATCCCTCACCTCGTTATTCTGTTTATCTTCATCACAATCTCTGTCACAATACTCTGTTTTATCTTCATCACAATCACATCCACCATTGCGATGGCTGTAAGCAAACCCATGATTAGCGCCTGCTTTAAGCTGCCTATAAGGCTGTCTATGATTTACGTGCACAGAACGCCAGGGGAAAAAATTTCCAGAGCACTCTACAATGGCATCCTTCATAATCATATCGTGGTTTTGCAATGTTAAAATCAAATATTCATTCTTTATTATATTTAAACTTCCCATGAGACAACTGGAATCCTCATCAGTGACATCATCTAACTATGCAGTAGCCTTCGATAGCTAGTAAGTGTAGGCAGCCAATACATATTTATTGTTCTCTTGGGGTATTCTAGGTATATCCTTTACAGTAAACCTGAACATACAGGAAATCGGTGCATGAGCACCATGGAATAACCCTACAAGAAGCGTAAAATTATGTAACAGACTTGGACAAAACACTGAACCTAAAAGCCTAGTGTGACCAAATGGTAACTCGTAAATAACACGCTTGTTCACAAGGAAGACATTGCTTAATCTGTTTCGAATTTTCATTGGAGATCCCACAGCGCAGGTCATCTTCAGGATCATAAGCGGCCCACTATTGAAAAATGAATAATACAAAAAACAACCGTTTACACAAAGGTGCGTTGCATGCTGATGCGGTGAAATGTAGAACCACTACTTCGTGCCTGTTTTAGCAACTCCCCAATAAACATAGAAAACGTTGGCCGCATATTATCTGTAAGGGGCACCCTAAGCTATCGCAAAGTATCTTACTGGTATTCTGGAGAGGTTTTCTAAAGCTGCATAAATTCACATGTTTCACCGGGAAATGAGTGGCCATATTGTAACGCTGGTACCTAATGGGTTAGTGAACCGTCCTTAAAGGGGCCCTGCAACACTTTTCGAGCATGGTCAGAAAACGCTGCCGATCGGTAGTAGAGGCTCTCGGCAACACACGAGCCAAATATTATAGCACAGAACCTGGCCTGGAATTGACAATAAATTATCATATTCAACTAAAAATTGCTTTCTCTTCTCTCGCCAAATCATGGAATAAGCCCAAAAATCACTCGTAGTAAGCCCATCTATCAGCCATTGGCTGATTTGAACATGGCACGCTCAGTCTTTTACAAGACATTACCGCGAGAGGCCGCGACTTGTCCGCGCGATCATACTGAAAAAGCTGCGCATTCGAAGAAAAAAAATGAAAAAAGTGCTCAAGGTCATGAGGCACGCGTGACGTTTTTCTTTGTGC